AGCTCTATCTACTGAAAGCACGAGAGCACCTGGGACCTGAAACACTCCAACAGTGGTAAGCAAGTAAGTGCTGTCAAGTTGGTTCTGACTCCTAGCAAACCTGTCCAGAATTTTTGAGGAGCAGCCGGTGGGCTTGAAGTGCAGTACTTATGTTTAGCAGTCCAGTGCCGATCCTACAGCGCCATGCCAGGACTCCAATAAGCATGTTTAGTGCCCCAGTTATTGGCTTCTAAATACTATTCTCCACCAAGTGAAATCAGAACTGCTTGGGAAACAGCTGCCTCCAGACAGGGCAGAGAAATTACAAGGAGAACCTGGAACCAATTGTGCTTGGATGAAGTGCTCGAAGAATACTGGGGGCATGACCAAACCACCGAAGCCAGCTTGAAGGGGCTCCCGCTGGTCAAATCTGGGACATTATTAGCATCAAAATGAGAATAACAGATAACCATTGAATACAACAAAAATCCATATATTGGTATTAAGTAAATGGAGGGAATGAGGTTTTTCCTCATAGTAGAAAAACAAACACTGAAGGCAAACATAGAAGGCATGAAAATCACCATTTAGCCAACATCATAGTAATCATCAGTCAAAAACCAGCAACAGATGCTGAAAATAGAGGGTAAAAATCTGATGACAAATGAAATATTCATATAGCCTCAAAGTACTTCCATACAGAATACTAATTCACAACTTTATATTGGGGAAATTTGGCAGATGCCACTTCACTTAACTGATCCCTGTTAACATCACCAACAATGGGGAACTCCAAACCTGCAGCACCTGATGGCAGGCAGAGGGAGGAACACGGCATCCTGCTTGAGTGGCCATCCAAACCATGAGGAAGACACAGCAACAAGACATATTTGAAGGACACTCTCCAGCCTGTAATCTTCATGGATGGCGGGCATGAAGATAGCTTGAGAAACACCAGCAGTGGTTGGACTACTGTTCTACTCTGGTTTTATCACTCTTCAGAGGAGGTGCATATATATGAAAAACCAAATTCCTTGCCATTGAGTCCATTTCAACTCACAGAGACCCTATAGGACAAAGTAGAACTGCCTCATGGTCTTTTTTATGCTGTAATCATTACAGAGGACCCCTGGTGTGGCACTGGTGCAGACTCAATGGCACTGAAACTTCATGGAAGCACATCTCTTGTAAAGCAGCTGGTGGATTTGAACCACTGACCTTCTGATTAACAGCCAAGCACTTAACCAGTAACACTACGTTGGCTGGTTGGTCGTATGTCGTTGAATTGCTTCCAACTCATAGCACGCCCCTATTGGGTTTCCGAGGCTGTGAATCTTTATAGGAGCAGGAGGCCTCATTTTTGCCCATCAAGTGGCTAGTGGAATCAAAACTACTGACCTTGCAGTTAGTAGCCCAATGCATAACCTACTATGCCACCAGGGTTTCTAAATAAAGGTGTCTAAGTTCTGGTAGCGTAGTGGTTACGAATCAGGCTGTGAACCGCAAGGTCAGCAGTTTGAAACTACCAGCTGTTCTGAGGGAGAAAGATGAGGCTTTCTGTCCCCATAAAGATTTATAGCCTCGGAAACCCTGTACAGGGTCGCTATGCGTCAGAACCAACTCCACAGCACATAACAAGTTCAAGAAAGAAGGAAAAGGTCAAAATGGATGTCAGGAGAGACTGAAACTTGTTCTTCAGTTTAGATATCCTAAAGCAAATGGAAGAAATGAGGAGGTACAAGATCTGAAGAGACAATTTCCAACATCAGCTCGAGAAGATAAAGCTAAATATTACAAAAAAAAAGGTGCAAAGATCTGGAATCAGAAAACCAAAAAGGAAGAACACACTCAGCACTTCTCAAGCTGGGGGAGCTGAAGAAAAAATTCAAGCCTCAACTTTTGTTATTGAAAGATTCTCTGGGAAAATTATTGAATGATGCAGAAAGCATCAAGAGAAGATGGAAGGAATACACAGAGTCACTGTACCAAAAGGAAATGGTTAATGTTCAACCGTTTCAAGAGGTAGCATATGATCAAGAGCAAATGATACTGGAGGAGGAAATCCAAGGTACATTGAAGGAATTGGCAAAGAACAAGGCACCAGGAATTGATGGAATAAAAATTGAAATCTTTCAAGTGAGGCAGCACAGGAGGCACTAACTCATCTCTGCCAAGAAATCTGGATGATGATTATCCGGACAGCTGATTGGAAGAGATCCCTTTTTGTGCCCATTCCAAAGAGAGGTGACCCAACAGAACGCGCAAATCATTGGACTGTCTCTTTGATATCCCATGCGAGTAAAGTTTTACTAAAGGTAATACAGAAACGACTGCAAGCATACACTGAGAACTTCCAGAGGTTCAAGCTGGATTCAGAAGAGGCTGTGGAACGAGGGATATCATTGTTGATGTCCAATGGATCTTGGCTGAAAGCAGAGTATCAGAAAGATGTACCTGCACTTTACTGACTATGCATGTGTGGATCATGACAAGCTATGGCCAATATTGCGAAGTATGAGTATTCCAGAACACTTAATTGTGCTCATGAGGAATCTATACTTGGACCAAGAGGCAGCTGTTCGAACAGAACATGGGAACACTGAATGTTTTAAAATTAAAAAAGGTGTCTGACAAGGTTGTATTCTTTCACCATACTTATTCAACCTGTATGCTGAGCAAATAATCCGAGAAGCTGGGTTCTATGAAGAAAAATGTGGCATCAGGATTGGAGGAAGACTCATTAACAACCTGTGATATGCAGATGGTACAACCTTGCTTGTTGAAAGTAAAGAGGACTTCAAACATTTACTGATGAAGATCAAAGAGCACAGCCTTCAGTATGGATTACATCTCAGTGTAAAGAAAATAAAAATCCTCACTACTGGACCAATAAACATTCTTATCAATGGAGAACACATTGAAGTTGTCAAGGACTTCATTCTTCTTAGATCAACTACCAACACTCAAGGAAGCAGTGGTCAAGAGATCAAACGACGTATTATATTAGGCAAATCTTATGTACAAGACCTTTTTAAAGTGTTGAAGAGCAAAGATGTCAGCTTGAGGACTAAGGTGCGCCTGACCCAAGCCATGGTATTTTCAATAACCTCATATGGTTGTGAAAGCTGGACAGTGAATAAGGAAGAACGTAGAAGAATTGACGCATTTGAGTTATGGTGTTGGAGAATATTGAAAGTGCCATGGGCTGCCAAAAGAACCAATAGATCCATTTTGGAACAAGTGTAGCCAGAGTGCTCCTTAGAGGCCAAGATGGCCTAATTTTGTCTCTCATACTTTGGACATATTGTCAGGAGGGACCAGTCTCTGGAGAATATTATGCTTGGTTAAGGTGGAGGGTCAGAGAAAAAGAAGACCCCCAACAAGATGGACTGGCCAAGTGGCAGCATCGATGAACTCAAGCGTGGCAACAGTAGTGAGGTTGGTCCAGGATTGGGCAGTGTTTCTTTCTGCTGTGCATAAGGTCGCTATGTTACTGTACCGACAACCTACCAAGAATTTCATATATGGAGTCCTGGTGTGGCGCTGTGGGCTAATGCAGCAGATTACAAAGTTGTTTAAACTGCAAGGTCAGTGTTTCAAGTTCACCAGCTGCTGCTTGGAAACCCTATAAAGGGTCTCTATAGGCCGGAATTGACTCCACGGCACCTATCCAGTCTCTCTCTCTATAAATGTGATTGTATACAAAGAGGAGCCCTCGTGATGCTCCATGGCTAATGAAAAGGTCAGTAGTTCAACTCCATTAGCTGCTTTGCAGAAAAACCTGATTTCCTGGTAAGACTAAAAACTAGGAAACCATTGTAAGGTTTCTGAACTGGAAATAGTATCACAGCTGGTTGCCATTGGTCAATTCCAACTCATGGTGACTTGATGATACTTAACAGGAGCAGTGTATCCATATCCCTGTATCTCAGGAGTGAGGTCTGCATCTAAGGAGGAAGAGAAGAAGCATCATTTTGAAGCATAGTTTTGTTTCCCTTGTGGGAAACATTTTCATTTTCTGAAATTTTAGGTTCTTAGAGAGATAAACTGGACTCCTGGTGTGGCGCTGTGGGTTAATGCGTCAGACTGCAAAGTCATTTGAACTGCAAGATCGGTGGTTCAAGCTCACTAGCTGCTCCTTGGAAACCCTGTACAGGGTTGCTATGGGTGGGAATCGACTTGATGACGCTTAACAACAAAGAGATAAACTATGTCTTGGTGTGCTTCACATACATAAAACAAAACAATTATATGACCATTTGAGGTGAAAACTCAAAATGCAGAAATGTCGAACTTAATTTGCTAAAATTAAGATTGCATTAACAGGGAAACAAGTAAGAATGATAATTGAAAACCAAGCAGAACCTAAGTCTGTAAACCCTGAAGGCAGTGTCATTCAGAAGTGAAGTGATGGAACCAAGAGGAAGTTCTCTCAATTCTTTTCGTGTCAAATATTTAAGGGCACAATGAGAAATTGAACCTATAAAAAACAATACAGAAGTCTTTCAATTCTTTAACACAATTACTTATAGGTGCAACAGTGCTAACAATCTGGTATTAAAGAGACCATGACCACAAACTTAACAAGGACACCTCATATTGAAACTCTTTATAAGACTGTTTTTGAGTCAGGAAACTATCCAAAAAATGGATATAGTCTTCTCAGCTTGCTTCCTCTACTAGCTAATAAAACTTTATTATTCATCTTTGCATTTATCAATTGCAATTGCCTAGGCCAGGCATTTCAATTCTCAAATACTTAATGCACTGCAGTCAAATAACACTTCATCATGTACAATACATCTACATGGAAATAAATTTAACAGTCCCGGGAATAAAATTTCAGTTACTAGCAACAAAATAGCAAGACAGTCTTTGACAAAACATGTATAAAAAAAGCACAATTGTTACCATCTTGATTGTAGGTGATCTTCCCTAGGTTCAAGGCTCCAGTATGCTTGAACCCTTGAACTATACAGCACAACAAAACCCCACTTGTGGAGGTTCCTTCCAGAAAGCAAGAAGCAGGAGCTCTCAGCCAGAGCTGCCCAGCAGAGGTTTGCGGTATTTGCACTGTATCCACACTCGGTACATTGTCAGCTGCTTTCCCCGATTGACTTGCAAACGGTGGTCCACCAGATTCTGAATTTTCTCCAGTCCAGCAGCAGTGAAAAGAGTGTCTAGTTCATCTAGTTTGGAAAAGAGATGTTTATAAAATTGGGTTATATGTAAAATCCAGGAGACATGTCTTCCAAAGCAGCTTTTCTTGGGGAGGGATTCTCTAAAGATGCAACGTAAGGAGAGGAAGGAGCTGAGGGGCCCAGGCAGGGATGGAGGCTCCACAGGTGTCGGAGGATGAGGGAAGCTGTGGGCAGAGGTCATACCTGAAACCCAGTGAGAAGAGTTCTCCCAGCCCAGGTGTACTCTATGAACAACCTAGCTCGGAAGCTGAAACAGGTGGACTGGAGACAAGTCTTACAAAATGGGTAGGTTTTCCAGTTGGACAGGGTAGGGGAGAGTGGAGAGTAAAGGCCAAAGACTGAGGTACATGCAGACCCAGCTGACATGAAGAACAATGAACAGCTGAAGTTGGCTTTAGGAGGTGAGGGGTAGAAAAAGGTGGGAGCAGCCAAAGGGTTGTTTGCTCTAAGTGCATGGAGGACCAATTTTGGCATTTTGGGGAGCTTTGGGATGAAGATGGGGATTTTCATACCTTGTGTGAAGAAGTACACTCTGGTGCCGTCACCTCTTACATAGAAGTTTTCAGACAGACATTGACCTGCAGAGTCATATGGTCAAATTTAGGAAAACTAAGCATTTCTGTTGGTGCCAATCAAATATGCATCAAGATATGAGCTTTTGGGGCCAGGACAGAATCCTCTCATGGTTGTTACACTAAGGAGACTGCAGTTTCTCACAAAGGAATGGTGCTTTGGAGACAAACAGTCCAAGGGTAATAAACTTTAAATAAAACATGTGCGAGTCTCAGCCCAATTCTGGTTCTTTTCATAAAATAGCTTGTCTTTTTTCCTCCAATTAAAACAAAACATGCAATACAGACAAGCTTAAAGAAACCTGAGATACTTGTTTTCTGTACTTTTGAAAAGCTGCATTTTAACAAGTTGGATTGATAACATATGGTTCATATATAATGTCAGCGTAATGTTTGTCTTAGTATATAGCGTACATTTCTATGCATAAAAAATGCTAAAAATTTCCAGAAGATACTCAAGCATCTTCAACGTAACATAGAAGTAATGCTTTGTTGTGCACCACACAGTAGCATCTGCTTGTTAATATCAGCCCTAATATATGCCTCAAACTTACTCTATTAGGCTCTATGGGGACTGGGACCACAGCTGCAAATACGCAGTTGGATGTGGTCCAAAAGAACTTGTGTGGTGTCTGACTGCATTTTCTTTTCTTTTCAGTGGCTGTTTGGAACACTCATTGGCACACTGTTTTTGCCTCACAATACAGAATGGAAATCCCTTCAGGTCTGGTGGAAAGGGTTGACTTCATGGGACAGGCACAACTTCCCCTATCCAGAGTGATCCACTTTGTTCCCAGGTTTTTCCTTGTACACATGCTATACACTGTTTCTTTTCTTTCTAGAGGATAACTTCCATAAAAAGAATGGCTAGATAGAATGAATAGAGTCAGTAATGGGGGAATGTACCTCCTTTTTGGAACTGACCAGTAAGAGGTTTAAGTGGTGGCTCATTGTTATTGCTTCCCTGACTATCAATGAGAATGAGCAGCTTTTTGAAAACACTATGAACACAGCATTAGCCACTGTAACGCTTATCTTGTGCTCATTGAGTGACACCATGACTACTCCTATGTGAGCAGCACGGCTCCGTGGCCATGTGGACGTGCCTTCTGTGAAGTGACGAAGTAGTCCTCGCCTATTTTCGGCTGCGTCGTTGATCTTCCCCTTATCTACTAGCTGACAGCCCCTTGAACAGCACAGATACTAATGAACATTATATCTGGTGAATGCACTGGAAGTATTTTTTCTCAATCTATCATTTATCTTTTAAAGTGAAAAGAAAAAAAAAAGCCATTTTTCTTATTGCTGTTTAGAGCACACACAGCACCATTTCTAATGTCCGATCCAGTGTCACTGGTGACCTTCCCAGAGGAAGCAGCCATCCTCAGCCACTTTTCTGAATTGGTCCTCCCCTATTAGCATAAACTCCCTACCCCCCTTAAGTTTCCTATAGAAATTTTCCAGTGTCTTTGCACTTTTTAACAGTACCTTTTGCAACCCAGTTAAAACAATTCTAAGGTGTCTAAGTTGGTTCCAAAATACCTTTCTTAAAGCGAAGCTGCGCCATGTCATAGCGGCCGTAATCTCGCAGAAGCATCAGTCCCCCTGGCTTCAGAAGCCTGCTCAGTCTGTGGATCGCCTTCTGCATCCTAGGACAAGTGAGCATGCAGATCAGCTCTCTGCAGGGCCAGGGCTCCTCGTCTATGTCCCAGATCCCAAATAACCCCAATCCCAACCTTCTAAGACCTCAGCTCTTCTGCCCACTTCTCTTAGAACCAAACTACAGTGCTGCCTGTCGCCTGCTGAGGGCACCATGGTCACCTGACCACGCTGACTGGGTACAGATGACTCACCTGCTGAGATCATGTCACACCTTCATGTCCCTAGCTCACAGCATGCTTAATAGTTTGTTCAACGAAGACTTATCCTCAGGAACAGAAATCTAAGTGGTGATACACTCAATATGCAAATAAGCATGATGGGTAAAGTGCTTTGTTTATAAAAGCACTTTTCCTATGTTGTTGTTAAGTGCCTTTGAGTACATTCTAATTCATAGCAACTCTGTATAGGGTTTCCAAGGAGCAGCTGGTAGGTTTGAATCACCAACCTTGTGGTTAACAGCCTATTGCTTATCCTCCACCAGGGTTCCAAAAGTCTTGGTGTAGAGGTTTAGGTTTCAGAATTTATTCAATACTACAGCACTTGATATTCTAAAGCAAAGACGGGCTAGACTACAGTCACTCACCTAAGGTAGGGCTAGGACTCACACAAGCTATATATAGCAGGCTCTTGTCCCCTAGAATATGAATTTAGTTCATCAGTCTTTATCGGTTCTGATGTTCACAGAATGAGTAGAAATTTGACATGTCTGCCCCCTCTTAACTTAGTCTCATGGTGTTGGGGTCATCTGTCAAGCTCTTGGCCTGTCCTACCTGGTATGTGGTGTGACAAGGGCTTCTCTGACATCAGCAGATGGTGCTTACATCTCTTAGCCATCAGCTCTGTGACAGACCCTGCTTCCACAAGACTCCAATACTTTTTCAGGCACAGCATTTAGCTTTATTTTCATCCAATTCTGGTATTATGGGATTCTCCTTAATGTAGTTTTCCAAAAAACTTAAAAACATCAGTGAACACTATTACCTTAGTTAAGTGTCCATGTAAGTTTTTTGCATGCCTACTAAGCCTGGCTTACTCAGGGATTTAAAAGAGCAGTACTGGGAGGGTATCAAAGCACTGTGGCACCTGCAGTCCTGAAACATGCCGTGAGCTACCAGTGGGAATTCCTCTGCATATCCAGTACACAGCTTTCCCTCAGTCTTTGGGAAGGTTCAATGGTAAAACAAGGAACAGGCAGAAGCTGGACCTAAAGACCAGTTTACGGCATTAGATCCAGGAGCTTCCGATCTCCCAAGAACACAAGACAACTTTTGTTATTTACACTCCAACTCAGCTATCAAGGTACCCGACCAAAACCTTTTCTTTGGTTACATTGGTTGTGGGACCTACAACTTACTTGTCTGGAACAACTGCTGAAAGAACAAATATGAGAATGATGATATCGAGACTATCCCTGGGCACTGGGTAACTCTTATCTTCATCACACAGATCGTGAACAAAGGCCAGGCACCGAGAAGGATCATACTCTGAATTTGTCTGCGGTGACAATTGAAAGAGAAACAACTGGATTAGAAAATGTTAACATGGCCTTGAGAAAAGCTTTTTTGTTTGAAATGTAACCCAACACTCAGCAATACAGTTCGAATCCTTATTAGTGGCCCCCAGCTCATGAACGAAACACTGCTGGGTCCGGCACCATCACAATGGAACATTGTCCGATCCACAACCCTTCTGGTTCATTCTGTTGTGCATGGAGTCGCAAAGAGAATCCTCACCTTTTTAGGGGTGGGGACCCCACGGGAAAGGTATCAAGAATTCTACCATGGAACATGCTGTGGAGTTTAAGTGGGTTCTGGTGCCTTCTGAAACAGAATTGTCCTGATCCCCCTATTTTTATTCTTTTTTCAGATGCATTTCCCTTATTGGCACATTGGGAACAGAAACATTTCTCAAGGGGACAAGAGCGTTATTTTGAAAGCATGATTTGAAACAGCTATCAAACTAGGGAAATTACTTTCTCTAGATGTGGAGAACGCAATCTGAATTTTGTTATCATAAAATTATGTACACAGAATTCCCAATATTTACCTGGTCTACATTAAAAAAGATACAAGTTTCAGAACGAGATGGAAGGACTCCCCTGCTGCTAATGCACCAGACACATATGCGGGCACCTGGTTCTTCCTGGAGCCCTCTTCTTGAAGAATGTGACTTTGTTCCTTACTGATCACGAACAGGGAAAAGCGGATTTATCAGCTGGGCTGTGGCAACCAAACCATGTTTCTGGGGACTTTGGAAATGGGACTGTCATCCTGGTGAGGCTCAGCCACAACTAACCTGGGTAGATTTGTGAGGGGCCCAGAGGGGAAAGCATGCTGGGGTCATCAGGAAAAAAAATCAGAGAAAGATGGTCTGCAAAGAGGTGGGAAAAAAGAATAAAGTAGCGGAAGCTGTGCTGACAGGAGGGAAGCAACTCCTCACCAGGCATCCAGCTTGCCATGGTTTCTGGCAACGTTTCAGGGCTGGATTCCAGTTCTTCCCCAGGATTGGCTGCACTTCCTGCCCTTGGGTTGTGACATCCATTTTTATTGCCTGAATTTGAGGTTTCTGTTGTTTTCTCTTTCCTTTTTATTTTAAATCAAAAACATTTCTAACAAATTGTGCTTTAGGGAAGAGTTTACAGAGTAGTGGTTTTCTACTCAGTGGTTTGTACACAGAGTCCCAGATGTTGCTTGTATCCCCACAGTAAGTCAGCATTCCGCCCTTTTCCGCACTGGGTTTCCGATTTCTCCTGGATTTTCTTCTCCTTCCTTCCTTCTCACCTCTGCTTTTGGGCAGATGTTGTCCTTTGGATCTCATATAATTGTTTTAGGGACACATTCCTCTCAGGAACCGTGTGTTGGATAAGCCTATTGTTCGCCAGAAAGGTTTTCAGTTCTATGTCAGAAGGGACGATAGTCTCTGCCAAACCAGTAAGCTTGGTCTTTTTGTAAATTACATTTTTGTGTCTCCATTTTTCTCCCCGTGTCATGATCCCAGGAGGAACCCCTGGGAGTGACAGCCAGGCACCACCTTGTTCTCCTGGTATCGGGGTCGTAGACGTCATGGTTCCCGTGGTCCGTTAGTTTCTTGGACTAGTTGTTCCCAAATCTTTGGTTTTCTTCATTCTCCTTTGCTCCAGATAGGAAGAGACCAATAGCTGCATCTTAAATGGCAGCTCACAAGCTTTTAAAACCTCAGCTGCTACTCACAAAAACAGGATGCCGAATGTTGTCTTTACAAACTATATTGTGCCAATTGTAGTAGATCTTCCTCAAGTCTATTGTCCTTTGTCATTGAGCCTAAGAACTTTGTCCTGAGAGGACTGGTGAAGTTTCCATGACTGTGCTCGTCTACTCTACAGTCTACGTGAGTCATATGCAACACCTTCATACAGATATGTAGAAAACCCCACCACCACATCTGTATCTGCTCCCTTCCACATCTGTCTACCTATGCATCTCAAAGAACTCACACTGAAACAACCATCTCATTTCAGTCCGTAACACACCAGTTTGGAGACGCTAAGAAACCTTCCCAAAACTCCAACTGGCAGTCTCCCTCACCACGCCTGCCCTTTCCTCTAGTCATTGTCAGCCAATCTCATTTGTAGACTGCAGTTCACTAAGAAACAGCTGGAGGTCTTGATTCTCAGGAGACCCCTTTTCCTTCAGCCAGTGAAAGTTCCGGGTAGGGAGCCAGGACACTTACCCGGACCAGTTCCACAGCTGTCGAGGAAAAATCACAACAGTAAACAAAGAGTCCTGGGTCACTGAAAAGGGTGGAAAAACAAGAGAACAATTAGCTTACAAATTGGACAATGTCAATTCCTCTTTCTGTGTAGCAGCGTTAAAACTACCAAATGACGTGGGTAGTCATTCAGAGAAATTGTATCCATCAGTCCCAACGTATTTCATTTTGGGTAAAATCCTTTTGGATTTATATCCTCTTGTGGATATAGCTAACAAAAAGTCTTACAAAAACTAGTGAGTTTCAACACAATGTTCTCTTTTTCTGTAACTTCTTTTCCTCCAAATCAAGTCTTGCTTGGGGATTCCATGAGAATTCTGCTCTTGGAGCAATCCTGGTATTTTCTCTGTGCCAGGAACACACTTGTACCCACCCGCCTATCCTACCACACGACTCCTACTAAGGCTCCATGCTGTGATCCTATTATCCTACAAGCAGGGGAGACGAAAGTAAACAAGACAAAACCCCTGTGCTTGTTTATCTTATTCTTTCCAATGTCTAGCCCAAGTCCTGGCACATGGTAGGAACATCAGGATAAATTACACTGATATTAGTAACAGCCAAAAGTTATTTTTTGATGATGAAGCACACTATTTATTTAACCTGAAAACATATTAGAAATCCCAGTCAAAACAAACCCATCTGTAATGTTCTAGGTTTTTATCTGGAGGAACTAAGAATGACGGTAAAAGGCTGTGAGCTTCTGTTTTGAGAAACAGCCATATAGCGCCGTGAACCACAGCTGCACTCATCCTGAGTACTCGATACTGTAATCTCTCACAGGCCCAGGCCCTACCTCCTTCTACAGTGCTGACATTTGGGACAACTTCTGGGAAGTACAATCCAACCCAGGAACTGGAAGCTGCACTGTTCAAGATGGTAGGCACTGACCACACATGGCTATTTAATTCCATCATAGCAAAGAGTTCTTTTGGAACGTTAGAGAGCTGGGGGAGAAGCTATGTTTGCTGAGTGCCCACTACGATGAAGCACAACCCTTTAGAAAACCCAGTTTCCACCCTCCATTAAGTGACAACAAAAAAAATGACTAGGCACTAAAAGGTCATTGACACCACATTCCAACATTTACACAAAGAAGCGACACTTGAAGAGTCTACAGTACAATATGGTAACTAGTTAACGTCGATGGTCAGGTGACTGGTAATGTGGTTTATTGTTTTGTGCTTGTCTCTATTTCTTCAGTTTTGTCCTCCAGACAAAACTAAGGTAAAAGCTGCAGGTAGAATTTCAACAGAATCAGTTCCCTCTATTTTTATTTCACATAATTAAAAAAAAAATATATATATAAAAAAATTACCCAGAGAAAAATCTATAGTGGCAGTCTAGAAATGGTGGGCAGTGTCAACAAGTATGGAATTTCTTTGTAGTAAAATGTTCCAAGATGGAGTGCAGCGACGCTTGCACAACTCTGCATATAAGGAATCACAATTTAAAACCAACCAACAAAAATACATTAGTCTAAGAAGATATCCAAAGGCTTTACCAGTTATGGTACCAAAAACAAAAAAAAAAACCGCCCAGCTTCTCTGACGTAAATGAAGTGCACATTAAAGGAACACAGGAAACAGGCGAAGGCTATGACCACCACGGAACACTGCCGAGTGATATAGTGGGACTGTATCACCACAGAAAGCTTTCTGGATGTTTCTGATCTAGAATTTGAGGAGGGAAGGAAGGGTACAGTCTCATAGAAACGAAAGACATTTGGAAAAGACATGCAGAATATGAGGAAGAAGAGATACTTTAGAGTCAAAGGATGGATGAATGAATGTACTTTGTTGAAAGAAAAATACACCAAAACGAGGGTTAAAAACACAGGGCGGCATAGGCTTGTGAAGGGTTCTTTAAAACCATGCTGAACAATTTCAATATGATTTATAGGTAGTAAAGAGCCTCTGTTGATTCTCAGCAGATGAATCACATGAACAAGTGCCAGTAAGAACAGGGATTTCACTTAAATGGCATAAGAGGCACTGGCAAGAATGCTGTCCCACTTCACACTCATCAATGAGACTGACGATTAACACCATACCTAAGGGAAGTCATTAATTGAGGTGGATTCCAAAGTGTGACATTAAGAGCACAACAATCTCTTTACTTTCTTTTAAGTTTCTAACAGCAAAGTGCATACATGAGGGGGCTTCAAAAAGTTCGTGGAAAAATGGAATTAAAAGCCAATTAAAAATTTCAATGAATTTTTTTGAAATCTCCTCATATTCATGAGGCTATGTCTTACTAAATCCAATACAGTATTGTGGGCTAAAGTGGCTGAATTATTTATCTACAACCTTTGAGAAACAGTGGGTTCTGGTGGAGAGCTTAGAACTGGGATGTCATTTCTATGAATGACTTGAAAATAGGAGACGACCTTCACGTATGTCAGCCTCTTCAATTCTAAATAAGGTAACGACAGCCTAGCCACCAACTGTTCCTCAGAGATTGTAGGAGTGGAGAAACCAAGTCTGTTTTAAGTACCTAGAAAAAGGTGACACATTCAACACTAAGACTGTCACAGGCTTACATTTTACTAATTTTCCTGAAGACAGAGATAACTTGTACATCAAGTGACACTAAATAAAGTGGAAATCTAAATTCCTTGTAAACCCAAGAACTACTGTTAACAGTTCGATGCAGTAAGAGTTCCGAGGGGGAAAAAAACAACATAGCCCTACTTTTCTCATCTTTGTTGTCCTATAGTGAAAACCTCATACTTACTTGTTAGTTTGTAAAATTGGAAAGACCGTGTTTCCCACACCACATCCAACCTGCAGACAGATAGTAACTATTAGTCACAGTATTTTCCAAAGCATTAATCCCCTGAAGCTAAATAAGAAACTATCTTGTTTAGTTGGTTTTTTTTGGGAAAGTGTTAATGACCAGTACCCAATACATCCCCTAATTTTGACCACAGGAACCAAAGCACTAGCCAGAAAACAAGAACATGGCATTTAGCAGATGGGACCTTGTCTAGATCAAGGACATGGGTTACTTTTACTTTTTGGGTTCTAGCAAATGGTCCCAAAGGTGAAAAACATTCTTCCTGAACTTTACTGCAGCATCAGTTCCTAATATGTTGTTGTTGTTAAGTGCCGTTGAGTGGGTTCCTACCCACAGTGACTGAGAAGCAGCTGGTAAGCTTAAACTGCTGACCTTGCGGTTTTTACTTTACAGTCCAACGCATTAGCCCACAACGCTACACCAGAACTCCAGTTTCTAACATTGTTGTTGTGTGCCATTGAGTCGACTCTGACCCATAGCGAACCTGTATAGGGTTTCCAAGGAGCAGCTGGTGAGCTTGAACCACTGAGCTTGTAGTTCAAATAGCTTTGCAGTCTGGCGCATTAACCCACAGTGCCAGTTTCTAACATAGTGGGCTGTAAATACTCATAGCAAAAAAAGGGTCAAGGTAGCCTCATCTTAATTATAGTGCTGTGTGCAGTAACAAGAAAATCAGCGATGCTTACTAAGGGCAGCCTTGTTCTCAGCCATTTTATACATATAACCTAAATAAACTCTCATGACACGTCTGAGAGAGGAGCAGTCTCATTCTGCTAAGGGAGGTTACAGGGACTCAATTCCAAGGCTACCTGGAAGCTCCAAAATCAGTTTCCAGTGGACTAGGTAGCCACCACTTGTGACTTTATGTTATGGTACCCACCTACATACTTCTGCAGGTCTAGGCCTACTTCTTTCTCCAACACCATCCAATTGAGAAGATAAGAATTCTCCCAGCCTGAGAAGCAGACACCACCTCGATTACCCTCTCTGCTCTGATAACTGAAGAGAAGTAAAAGAACGTGCCTTGTGGCCCGGAACTTTTCCTACCACTATCTTGAGCTTTTCCCTGGACGAGACAGTGGCATGTGGTAGAGAGCAGATGCCACTGCAACTTTCTGATGAAAACTGAACATTCCCAGGTAGTACCTTTGTCTGCCATGACCGCCAGAGATATGGTCTACATTTAGGACATTACATTAGTTCAGAAATGGAGGTAATTCCAGAACAACTCAAGAATCAAGCCCAGTCATCTTTATCTGATAGAAGCCACCTCTTCTGACCAGCCTCAAAAGAGCACACACACAGTTCAGAACCTCACTAATGCTACTACCAGGGCAATAGAAAGGTTACCTCAAGTATTCTGTAGGTAGCTGAGGATCCAGGAAACTCGTCAGCACAAATGTCCAGGTGGCTGAGTTTCTGGGTTATGTTCTTCTCCACAGAAGGGGCCTGTGTTTTTTCTCTGAGGCTGTTCAAAGTACCGTGATGCTGTTCTTCTATTGTCAGACCATGTCCGTCCTCACTGCTGCCACACTCTCGCCTCTTTTCCTCTGACAGCAAATCCTTTAAGTGATTTCCGTTGTGGTTAGGTGCCAGCTCAGGGAATTCGGTAAAGAGCCAGTGTCTATCCTTGAAAAACCCATTTTCGTGGATTTTGTAGAAGTCATTCCAGTATTTGTGGGCATTGATCTCGTAATCAACTGTAAAAAGAATTTAAGAATCACATTTCCAATGTTTTATTTGCATCAAACAGCAGTTATCCTGCTTCAACAAATATCGTTTTATACTAAAATTATCCTTATGTAGAGCCACAGAATTTCTGGGCTAGAGGCACTTTGGAGGGTCATCTTCTACTACCATCTACTGTTATACTTAAGTCCCCTTTACACTGACCTTCCCAACGAACCCAACGTCTCTGTGAACCATCCACATCTTTGGATGGCCCTTAACTATCAAAAGATTCCAACATTAAGGAAAAAAAAAAAGTCCAATTTCTTCAAAAGTTTCTACTATTTCTCAGGGCCACAGAGAATGACTCAGGACAAGTATTTCCCCTTGAAATCTTCCATTTTACAAGCTAAATGATTCAGGTTCTTTAGTTAGGTGTTGCTCACGTGGACTCAATGGTTCTTATTGGGGCAGCTCGTCTTTAAATGTGTTTGTGCTTTTTTTTTTTTTTAAAAAAAAAAGTGAAATGAATTCAGTATTACTAACAGATGCTAAGGAACAAGGCCTTAAAAAACCAAAAAGCCGACAAGAGGGAATATGTCTTCAGGTATGAAATGCTGAATCACACAAGGGAAACTAAAATATGAACAGATACACTGCTTAGAGGGATTGTTTTCTGCTCTTAGAAACCTAAGAAATTGTATTTTAGTTCTATCATTGCTGCTCCTAACTAACTGCTTACCTCTGAGCAAGGCACTTAATGTCCTGTGGTCCAAATTTCTTTAACTGTAAAAAGAGGATAACGGACTATATGATTTTCAAAGTCCCTTAAAAGTCTCACTTGCTTTGATCTAGTCTCTCAAATTATATAAAAAGAATACTTCGTAAATGCAATTTTCTAATTGTCACGCATAACTCTTACAGGGACGACCACTCTCCAATCTGTAGCCCAGCCAGCCCTCAAATGTCCCTTAGGATACTGACCCAACCAGTCCTAGTTTTGCAGTAAAATCAAGCAGTTCTCCATGAGAGTTCCCTTTTCTTTGGTCAAACTTAGCTTCACCCTGTTACATCCACTTTTCCTTCAGAAGAAACTAAATTCTCATACCCTTTACACAAGGAAAAGCCACACAATTCACCAGTCATTAACAACGCCCCCCTTCACAATCTGAAGACCGGAATCAAGCTTCAATGGCAATATCCTACACAGTGTGATAACGTTGAAACTACATCCTCTAGGATACTCAAGCGGCCACACGGGTGGCATGGATTAGCCTTGGGTCTAGTCCTGGTGTGGCGCTGTGGGTTAATGCGCTGGATTGACAAGTCAGCTTGAAATGCAAGGTCGGCGGTTCAAGCTCCCCAGAAACCCTATACGGGGTCGCTAGGGGTCGGAATCGACTCGACAGCACTTAACATCAAGACAACACCCTGGCGTAGCAATGTTCAAGCAGCTCTGTGGGCGAAACACCTGGCAAGCTGTTCCCATAAAGATTACAGCCTAAGAAGCCCTATGGGACAGCTGTACTCTCTCACAGGGGTCGCCGTGAGTAGAAATCCACTGGTGGCCCCAATCAACGTAACTAAAAACAGCTATCCTCCCCCAAAGATGGCCAGCACCCTCTCTATTCCCTAAGAAGATTTGGCTAAGGGGCGGCTCCATTCCTTCCTAGCCCAACCTCTCCCCCTCTAGCTTTGCTCCCGAGTTCCTTCAGGACAGAAATAAAGGCTCCCGGCGGCGTTGCTTCTCGCGACTCCCCGAGAGCGCGCGTCCAGCAAATGGCTGGCTGTCGAAGACACCGAGGGCCCATTTGGGCGCACCTTGCTTCTCCTGGGGCACTCGCTGGGCACTGTTCTCCCGGACTTTCTTCGCCGCCGCCGCGGCCTGCTCTTCCGACCATTCCACATTGTCCCTGGGAAAAGCAAGCAGGCAGTTTAGGGACCTCCCGGGTCAGCAGCGGGTCCCTGGGAGGCGCGCCCCGTGTGGGCCAGTGGAACTCAAGGCCTGCGGGCAGGGGGGCATGGGGTTACCAGGCATTGTGGTGGAAGACGTGCGCCGGGTCGCGCAAAAACCGGCTCCCAAACTGCTCCCTCTTTCTGTCAGGAACGGCCTGCTCGCCTTCAGGGCAGGAGCTCGCCATGACACCGGAGCCGGATATGCCCGCCTTTGTCTTAACGCGAGAACTTCCGATGGACCACGCCCCATTCCGGAAGGCGCGAGATCTGGGCGGGAACAGAGGAGGTGCGGCAGGCGTGGCCGGAGTGGGTAGTCTCCCGCGGGATTCCAGCGTCTGGTGGTGCAGGAGCGTAGTTTGGAGGAGGGCTCTCTGGGGAAGTAACCCGCGCAGTTGGAATATCTCCTGGGTCCTTTTGTCCTGAGGAGGAGCCGGCGGACATGCTGGCGGGGAAGAAAGTGGAACAGCTCGGCGGAGCCCCAGTTCAGTGTTTGGATCTTTTTAACAGGTTCCCCACTTTCCCTCTAAAACAGAAAAAATCTTGACTCATTTGAAGAGTTAGGGGGCACTTTACCCACTGTAAGGAGCCCTGGTAGCGCAGTGGCTAAGCGCTGGGCTGGTAACGGAAAGTTTGGCTGTAGGAACCCATCCGCGATCTGCTAAGCTTCTGTAAAGATGTTAAGTGCCTTGGAGTGGTTGCGAATGGGTTCCAACACATAGCGACTCTGTGTAGTGTTTCTAAGGGTGTCAATGTTTTCTGGAGCAGAAAGCCTCATTTTTCTCTTGCTGAGAGGCTGGTGGGCTCGAGCCGTTGACCTTATTGTTCCTAGCCCAGTGTTAATCCTACACAACCACCGCGCACCCGCTGTAAAAATTATAGCCTAAGAAACCTTATGGGACAGTTCTCTGGCATATAGGATTGTGGTGAGTTGGAATGGACTCCTGGACATACAACAGTCCCACTGTGAAGCTGATGACCAGAAAACTGGAAGGCAGCAGAGTGATGAAACAGCACTTTTCCAGCTTCTATAATCAGCTCTTCATGTTCTTTTATATGAAATGAACACCTAGAACCTGAGGTTTAGTCTTCAAAGCAAATGGATGGTCCAAAGACAGCTTTAAAATCATTTTTATAACCATCAGGAGTCCTGGTGTGGCGCTGTGGGTTAATGTGCCAGACTTCAAAGCCATTTGAACTGCAAGGTTGGCGGCTCAAACTCACCAGTCGCTCCTTGGAAACCCTATACAGGGTCGCTATGGGTTAGAACCGACTCAACGGCATTTAACAACAACAACCTCCTTGAAAACGCTGTAAAGGATCACAATGAGTTAGAATCAATTCGATGGCACGTAACAATAATTATTTTCATGTGGCACTGTGGGGTCAGCATTGGGCTACGAACCACAAGGTTAGCAGTTCAAACCCATCAGCTGTTCCTCAGAAACATAAGTGCCATCACATCGATTCTGACTCATAGCAACCCTGTATCGGATGTCAGAGGAGCAGCTGGTGAGTTTGATCTGCCATCCTTGCAGTTCAAACAGACCTTGAGGTTGAGTGCTTATTGACTCCAGAAGCCCTATACAGGGTCGCTATAAATTGGAACCGACTCAACAGCACTTAAACATTATTAGTTTGAATTATTCATTGTTGTTGTTAAGTGCCGTCGAGTCGGGTCCGACCCATAGCTACCCTGTACAGGGTTTCTGAGGGTGTAAATCTTTACGGGAGTAGAGAGCCTCATCTTTCTCCCGCGGAGCAGCTGGTAGTTTCGAACCGCTGACCCTAAGGTTCGCTTCCCGATTCGTAACCACTACGCTACCAGAGCTCCTTATTCATAGCTGAGCTAAATTAGCACTATCAAGATGCATACCCACAAGAGTTTGTTCTACATTGTAAATCTTCAGGTCTACATTTACATTTTCATAATTTTTACAAATGATTCTCAAAAGAATGTAGACTGTTTGTCTACAACATAGGAGAAGATTAGTTGAGAAGACTTCCAAGAGAGTGCTGACAGGCCCTTGGCAGGGAAGGACATGGTTATTTAGTTACTAGTGCACCGTTGGACACAGCGATGTCCATGTGGGCAGTGATGTCCATAGTGATGGTTGATTCCATTGCAGATTCTTTCCACAAGTGTAGAGAGTTTATACTTATTTTACCAAACTAATAATAAGAATAAGCCCTAAACACTTTCTAATCAAAAACAGCAATCAATAAAGACAAAATGCTTGTGTCCTTCTCAAGGTCTTTTGAAATATCTTGAACAAAAGATTCTTTCTAAAAAACCCAAGTGCAAGATCTTCTATCCTAAGGTCAGCTGTTTGCAGATATGGAGGTTAGTTTATATTTCTTAGCATCTTGTTTTCTCATCTATTAGCATCTTGTTTTCTCATCTGGGTTTTTCTTCTCACCACACCAAAAGCTGTTAAGTGCTTGTCATAGATTGTGTCAGTTTGGCTGGGCCATAATTCTCAGTGGTTTGTCAGTTATGTAATGATATAGTCGTCCACCATGATGTTCAGCCAATCAGTTGTTAGGGGAGTAGGATGGGATGCAACACCCTTACTCAGGTTTCCCTGGGGTGTGTCCTGCATTTTACCTGGGCCCCCTGTGCTGAGATGTTCCTAGACCCAGGGGAGATTGAGAAAAGGACCTTGCCTCAGAGCTGTCAGAGAAAGACCATTCCCCTAGAGCTGACACTCTGGATTTGCGTTCTAGACTGCTAAACTGTAAGACAATGGATTTGTGCTTGTTACAACCATCCACTTGTATTTCTGCTATAGTAGCATTAGGTAACAGTGTGTCTAATCAACAATCCCATGGCATATTTTCTTGCACATGGCTCACTCTTTGTCTTTACAGAAAAGTTACAATAATTGTCATTTAAAATGGCAAACTTGGACTCTTGTGAAATGTGATAAAGTATCCCAAACTTAATTTTATACAATTATTTTTAGCTGGCTTGTAACAATGCATTTTCATCTACCCTTTGAAACACCTAAGCTGCTTGTACACTTTTTCAGACAGTATTTGAAAGACATGGTTGGGAGGGCTCTATGGAAACAACTGACTTTACGCTAGACTGTAGCTTCAGGGGGACCTCTGGTTGGGTCACGTGGTTAATGCACTCCTAGCTATTGGAACAACCACCAGAATATCTGTTTCTGAAAATTCAACATTTGAAGACCACATGGAGTCTACTCTGGGATACGTGAAGTCACCACAAGTGAGAGCTGTTTGGGTTTGACTTGGTTGGGTTTGGTAGCTTTAGGTAGTGTTGTGTTTCAGAGATGCTAAGAGACATGTTATTAGGAGGAGAAGGACATCACGCCTGGTAAAGTGAAAAAGAGGAAGTCCCTCAGTGAGACCGATGGACACGGTGGCTGCCACAATGAACAATGAACTCAAGCCTACAGTGATGTGAGGACGGCGCTGGGCTGTGTTTCCTTCTGTTGTACACAGGCATTGAGTCCAACTGACTCCACAACACCCAACAATAACAAGAGTCCCTTTGCTGGGTGGCATCGAATCAAACGATGTAAGATTAAGAAGTCTCATTTGAGAGTCTTGCCTTGGTTGTTAGCTGAGTCCTCACATGTCTCCTTAAGGTTTCACAAAGGAACCCTGGTGGTGAAATGGTCAAGTGCTCTGCTTCCAACTGAACTTAGCAGGTGCTCCTGGAATTCTGCTCAGAAAAGATTGCAGCCTAGAAAACCCTGTGGGGACAGTTCTACTCTCATAGTCTATGGTCACTATGGGTCAAAAATTAAGGAGTCCTGGTCGCATGGTGGGTTATGTCTTGGGCTACTAAGTCCAAGGTCAGCAGTTTAAATCCACCAGGTGCTCCATGGGAGAAAGATGAGACTTTCTGCTCCCATAAAGATTTATAATTGGAACCGACTACACGGTACGCAGCGGCATGAGTCAACAGCACCTAAAATTACAACAAAGGGTCATAGGACAGGCTCTGTGGCAGCTCTAGAAAACTGTAGAGGCTAGTTTAACAGCTTTGGCTTTAAAACAACTTTCATGTCTTTTGCATTTATTGTAGAATATTAAGAAGATAAAGAGAAGAGGAAAGAAGAAAGAAAATACTTCATTCCCACCATTCATTTAACATTGTAGTTTGTATTCTTCTAGGCTTTTCTAAAATATTTATATAAGTAATTTATAAATTTAAACATTTTAACAATAAACTGCTTTGTATCTTGGTTTTTTTTTTTTTTTTTAATTTAATAGAGGTATCGTTGTTGGTAAGTGCTGTCGAGTCTGTGCCAACTCGTAGTGACCCTGTATGGGGTTTCTGAGGAGCAGCTGGTGTGTTTGAACTGCTGACCTTGTGGTTCGCAGTCCAGTGCTGATTCTATAGCATCATACCAGGAGTTCTTATAGAAGTATAATTTATATATAGTCTGTTTAAAATGTAGTTTGATGAGTTTTCATAAAAATTTATCTGTACAACTACCACCATCATCTAGTTTTAGACCCATTATAAAAGTTCCCTTATGCTTTTTAGCAGGTATAGCCTGTTTTTAAATTTAATAATAGAAGGTGAACCTTCCTTTTACATCATGATTAACTGGAGATCTGGTGTGGTGCTGTGGGTTAATACGCTGGACCACAAGGTCGATGGTTCAAGCTTACCAGCTGCTCCTCAGAAAACCTATACAGGGTTGCTACAACTTGACAGCACCAAACATCAACAATCATGATTAATTGGACACTTAGGCTAATTTAAATTTCTTATTAGAAATTCAATCTGATAAGCATCCTTGTAGCTAAGTCATTTTTAATAGTCATGATTATTTTTTTAGGATGAGTTTCTAGAAGGGGAAATGCAGAGTCAATGGTTCTAATTAGTTCTGTTACTAAGCACCATGAGGTTAGGGCATTTTATTTCTTTGGTTCACTGTTACATCTCCAGGACTTAGAGCCTGGCGTACAATATGCAACTTAATAAAATAACTGGTGACTGAATGAATAAGTACCTGTTACTAAACTGTACTCAGGTAGTAAGGTACCAAGTTATACTGCCATCAATAGTACATGACAATTCAGTAGAAAGAATGTATTATTGTAACAGTTTAGATTTTTCAGAACAAGTTTACTGGAAAATATTATTACTGTTATCCATTGATTCAAGGAAATATTCCAGGAATTTTGGCATTTAACCGACATCTCTGAGATTGTTTCTGGAATTCACAGCCAAACCAATACTCTCTTGTCAAATCACAATAATGTTTTGGCTAGAAGCGTGGTCACTTATCTACAACGTTAAGGAACCCTGGTGGTGCAGTCGTTAAGCGCTCTGTTGCTAGCTGAAGGGTCAGCGGTTTGAGCCCACCATCTGCTTCTGTAAAGATTAAAGCCTACTCTGCCATCCAGGATCTCTCTTAGTTGGAATTGACTCAACAGCAATAGGAGTGGGTTTTATTTATAAGGTTAATTCTTTTTCCAACTATAAAGAAGGGTAAATATATTTAGATTCTTTTGAACAACATCCAGCATGTCATTTCCATTTTCTGGAGCGTATTATTCCAGATTAACGATGAAAAAGACATTTGTTTTGTATGTTGACTGTAGTGGACCTGCTAACCCATCTCTTGTATAACTCTTACAAGTAGCTGATCTCATTTGTTATATTTTTAGATCAGAATTGGCACAGGAAATATAGCACATTTGCTATCTTGATATTAGACCAAAAGGTAAATATAGATTTAGTCCTGCCTGGTAGATCTAGATTTCTTGAAGCTAAAGGTGGTCTAACTCTTTGTGGTCAACTGCCGGGGTCTGACCTCGACATAGTTGTGTTGTTCACGAGTGTTTGGTTCACGAGGAGGGGAGATCCAGCGGCGATAGGGATAGCGAAAGAATACACAGACAAACAGAAGGAGGGAGACAATGAGGCACCCCAAAGCCAGGGTGGATGCATCATTGGTGGGCAGGTTTGGGAGTACAGGCATCGTGGCCTCTGCAGGCAGCAACTCACTGCCCTGCAATCTTTACTGCATGCTTTACAACCAGTAATGCACCGCAATCTTTACTCCATGCCTTCCAACCAGTAATGCACACCTGGGGAGGCTCGGGCCTCGGCTTTATTCAGGGGAGGAGCTTCACACCAAGCAGGGAGGGATCTTTACAGAAGAAGAATGGTATTATTCAGACAAGACAATCTTTAAGATAAGTTAAGCCAGTAAACCTTACTTAAACCAATATTCCTTTCTTCCTTACTGGGTTTAACCTTCACTTGGATCAAACTGATTGAACCCAGGGTGGTCCGAGGGCGTTGTCCCCATTGTCCTTAATCCCGTATTCCCAGAATTTACCGCTCCACCCCAAGTGAATATACCCCAGGCAGTTCCTCTCCAGAGCCTCCCTGCTTAATCCCAGTAAACCTGTCCTTGTTCGTCCTCTGAGGAAGTTTTACTGCCTTGGTTCTAGGGGGAAAATCTTGACCTTAGAAACTTAGGGGAATATTGCATTTCTCTGTGGACATCCAGGGCTCATGTTTGGAATTAAATAAATATGACTAAACAATTTGATGAAAAGCAATTTGCTATTAACTGCCAAGTGGCTTCATTTGTTACACTCGGGCCTATAGGGTCTTGAACCTCTGACCAGTCTTACATGGTCCGCAACAGTCAACCTCTTGAGAATCATAGTAAAAAGCCCTAAGATCTTTGAGAGTAGAGCCAGGAAGACTAAAAGGCAGTGAATAAGATCCACTGAACCTACAGATCTGTGTTGGAAGGAGTGCAGCCAGAGTGCTCCTTGGAGGCCAGGATGGCCAAACTTCATCTCTCATACTTCGGACATATTGTCAGGAGGGACCAGTCGCTGGAGAAGGATATCATGTTTGGTAGGGTGTAGAGTCAGAGAAAAAGAGGAAGACCCCCAGTGAGATGGATTGGCAGAGTGGCAGCATCAGTGGACTCAAGCGTGGCAACAATTGTGAGGTTGGCCCAGGATCGGGCAGTGTTTCCTTCTGCTGTGCATAAGGTCGCTATGAGTCAGTACTGACTGGATGGCACCTAACAGCAACATTTGTAAGAATTGTCTAAGGGATCATTTTGCAGGTGGGGTGGGCTGGTGATATTAGTCCCTGAAACGTAAAGGTCATTGCCATTTTCTGCCTTAGGCCTCTCTCTCTCTCTCTCTCTCTCTCTCTCTCTCTCACACACACACACAATTATGTTGTTGTGAAGTGCCGTTGAGTCGGTTCTGACCCATAGCACCCTGTATAGGGTTTCCGAGGAGCAGCTGGTGAGCTTGAACCACCGACCTTACAGTTCAAAAGGCTTCGCATTAGCCCACAGCTCCACACCAGGACGCTTAATCCCACTTATAGTCACCATAAACTCAGACACTATTGCTGTGAGGGTCCTCAGGAGCTCAGGAGGGCAGCCCTCTGTGAGTGTTAGCTTTCAGTCTCTCCTTCCGGCCGAGGCCGCGGCAGTTCTGAGCCAGGTGGGGGCAGCAGAGTGGAGTCGATTGCAGGTGAACGACAGCACCTGTGCTCAGTGCCGACTCACACACAGCACCTACTAACTAGTAAAGGATTAGCCAAGGGAAACCGTTTCATGACTTAAACTTTTTTTTTTTTTACTGGTCAGAATTCAGAAGATGGCAACATTTTTAGCTACTAAGAATATACTAGACTAAATCAAGAGACCATCATTTTGATAACTCTGAAAAAGTAGTTTACGGTTTAGAAAATGTAGAAATGTCATTGTGGAAACCCTTTGGAACCTTTTCGTTTTCTTTTTCTTCCCGTGTCTGTGTCCAATTCACTAATGTCTGAGGACGAATAAAATCTGGTACTGTGGATGGGATTTCGATCCCTGCAGGCATCCGATAACCGCAAGTCCTTTGGGGAAAGCAGTTCTTGGCATACATTCCAGGACCATGTATAAGTAGAAAAGGTGTCATAAAAGGACTCATTTTTGATGTCAATCCCAACCAGATCTCCTCGGATCTTCCGCCAGAGGTTTAGCATTTCTTTTCGGTGTTCCAGGCCAATTCCTAAGTTATAAGTATCTGTAGCTCTCTTCACCTGCAGTAAGAAAACAGACAATTACTAGAGTTACTGTAAAAGTCTTGCATTTGTGAACCACAGTTCTAGATATCCCAAGGGTTATGCTCCCAGACTACTTAAAAGTCACTGAGTTTGTTCATTTGTTAGGAACTCCTGAGGACATGTGAGCTAAGAGTTAATGGGTGATGAAAATGTATAATATGTTTTCTAACAATATTAAAAATGCAATAGATTAAAACAGGGAGGAAGTACAGAATGGTGTACTTTATCTCCAGGTGTAGCAGAAATGACAAAGATGGCACCCAATCCAGCCTAAAGCAGGGAAGCACAACTGCCTGGGAGAAGATGCTAAAATGAGTAGGTTCTCAAGGATTTGGTCAGATTGAGAGAGTAGGTGGTGATATCAGGGAAAGTGTTCCAGAGAGAATCGCCATGTGGCATCCTGGAGTTATTAGAGGGGAACAGGCACTTCTGCTGGAGTATCAGGTGGGAGGAAAGGAGTAATGATGGGAGAGAGGCAGGCAAGTCTTTGCCATAATTAGGCTCTTGGATTTAACCTCTTATTGAGGTTGGGGAAAGCCCTTTCCTTGGTGAAAATCATGGTGTAGTGAACCAGTCTCTGACAGAAGTGAGAGAAATCCCTCCGTAATATGGAGTCAAAAACATAGTTGAGAAACCCTCCTACTGTTGAAAGAGAAGCATTTATTTAAATAAAAATTTTTTTGGAATAGGGGCATTCATTTTTAAGTGGGACAGGGACATGGTTCTTCATGTTAGAGCTTAGCAGCTATGTGGAGAACAGGTGGAGGGGAGCAGTTACAGGGTAGTTACTACAGAGCAAGACCTAATGCAGACCTCATATAAGGCTGTGGTAATAGTGAAGGGGACAGATTTGAAGACTCTTTTGGAGGTTTGGTGACTGAAAGATGTGAAGAGTGAAGAAGTAGCACAAGTTAAGGATGGCTGGGTAGATGGTGCAATGTGACATCAAAGTATCGAAGTATCAGGAGGTCATAAGACAGACATCATAGGAGCTAAGACAGTAGTGTGGGAGAAAAGTCCAGATTTGCAACAAATGTAAGAGTTCTCAGTCTACAGGTGGCACAGCTCAAACAAGGGGGGAGGCTAGATTACGAAAGCCCAAAGAATACTCACCCTAGCTGTTCCTTCACCTAACACAGCTATCCCCAGTGTTCTGTTGGCACTGGATTACAGTGGTGTCAAATTATGGATGCTCCTAAGCTTCTTAGCTCTTACAGACAGCCGGTGCCCCAGGGCTGGAGGCTTCTGGCTATGCGTAACCTCCATTTGCACTAGTCTGAATATGTGTCCAGATGAGACAGGCTGGGAGCCTGAGCCTCTGTGTTCTGTGGCATACAGAGCTGTATGTATGGAACCTGTAGTTCCTACTTAGCTCAGTGTGTTACGATTGCTTTCCAACTGACTGCAGGCTCACTGAGGTAGGAATCCCTAATCCCAGAACTTTGTTAACACTACATAATCATGGGACAACTCAATGGATGAGCCACATGATGAGAAGAGCAGTAGAAGAGGGCTAGAAAATCAATACTTGATGAATAATCTAGAAAAGAGAAGAGAACTAGGCCAATAAGGAGTTCTGGTGTGGCCCTGTAGAATAAGTACTGGAATGCTAACTGTAAGGCTGCTACTTAAAACTCATCACTTACTCCTTGGAAACCCTGTATGGAGTCACTATGAGTCAGAACTGATTCAGTGGCACTTAACAACAATAAAGTGGTACTACAGAATAAACTCTGGACTACTAAACACTAGGTCAGCAGTTCAAACCTAGCAGCTACTCTTTGGAAATCCTATACAGGGTCGCTATGAGTTGGAACGTACTCCACAGCACCTAACAACAACAAGAACAACATAAGGTGAACAGTAACACCAGGGAGACTCCTTAGAACAATCAACTGCAGAAGATCAAAAGGGCAGCACTTGCCCAGGCCCAGAGCTCAGAAGGCAGGAAGGGACAGGAAAGAAGGACCAATGGAAACACGGGGAGGAAGTGGGGAGAGAGCTGGGAATTGTGGGAATTGCAGTCAGTGTCACAAAATAAAACATACATGAATTGTTGATGAAAAACTATTTTGCTCTGTAATTTTTTTACCCAAATCACAATATAAAGTTAAAAAAAAAAAAAAAAAAAAAGCCCATGTGATCTAGAGAACTAACGTGGCACAAAGTCTGCATTAGGCAACTGTCCTCTTCCTTGTAAACAAACAAATGATAGGACTGTTGTTCTCCTCATGGCCCGCTATGAATCGGTTCTGACTCATAGCGACCCAGCACAGGGCTTCCAAGGAGCAGCTGCTGACCCTGTGGTTCCAACTGACCGTGCGGTCTAATGCTTTATCTCACAGCGCCACACTAGGACTTCCAAGGAGCAGCTGCTGACCCTGTGGTTCCAACTGACCGTGCGGTCTAATGCTTTATCTCACAGCGCCACACTAGGACTCCAAAAGATTGTTGTTGTTATTAAGTACCATGAGTCAGGTCTGACTCATAGCAATCCTGTCTAGAGTTTCCAAGGAGCAGCTAGTGAGTTTGAACCACCGACCTTGTGGTCCAGTGCTTTATCCCACAGCATCACACCAGGACTCCAAATTCTAGGAGTAACTTACTAAGCAAAGGGAAGAGGAAAGAAAAGACAGAGCTACAAGAGACTGAAGACGCAGTATCGTAATGTTCAAGGAAGTAGAAAGCGTCAAGCAAAGCCTGGTCACTAGTGTTAAAAGTAAAAAGGAGGTGAAGTCAAAGAAATACAGCCCAGTTGGTACAAAGCTACTAAGAAGTCAGGGCATAAAAGGAAACAAACAGCATAGAGTTGTGGTTAACTGTATTCTGGAGTCAAGTTGCCCGTGTTTATAATTCTGATTCTATTTCTTACTGTTGTCCCTTTGGGCAAGCCACTTTAAACTCCCTGGGTATGTCTGTAAAATGACAAGGAGTGGTAACAGTGCCTACCTTAAAGGGTTGTGATGAGTGGATGAAGCAATATCTATAGAGAAGTTGGCGTGGTACCTAGCACCTAGGGAGTGTAGTTGAACTGCAGTAATAAAGATACTTCCGCTCATCATGATGCCCTGAGCACACCACTCACTGACTGTTGCTTTACCACCTTAACAAGTTGCTGTTTCTAGCCAGAGCACAATTAGATGATCCAGAAATGAAATGATGCTGGGCATGGCTACATAAGTGATTAGCAGGATGACCTGTAACAGTTAGCATTTGAATCCATTTGACTGTAGAATGAGAAAGGTCATTACAATGGGTAAAAATGAGAAACAATTTTGTCTCATTTTAATGACATAGTAGGAAAAAATTCTCTTAGTTTCATGGTTTAGTATTGATGTGGACAGGACTTTTGTCCGTGTTTTCTGCGCTGGCAGTCAATAATGAATACTCACGTGGTGCTTAATTGCTGCTGCATCTGTCACTGTCCAAGTCTGCTTTCTCTTGAACATTTGGTCAATAGCAAAGATTTCACTTGGGTAGCTTGAGGCAGGGTCGAAAGGCTTTATATTTGCTGCCTTTATGCATATTGTAAAAGGTTAGAGATATGTTTTAGTGTGAATTATACAATAAAGATCTAACAAACAGAAGTATACTTCATTATGGAAGGATTTGTATATGACTTATAAAGTTATTGCTAAACCATCTGCCTGTTGTTTTGGGGCATGTAGAAATGGGCATTTAGCAAATTTTCTTTAATAACGATGACAGTTATTCATATAAAAGAAGTATAAAGCAGAGGTGTGCCATGCATGTGGAGGCCACAGAGGAGCCAGCTTCATCCTGACTCAGACTTGCCAAGCCAACACAACTCACTTCCAAACTTCTCACAAGGACTCAGCCAACTGCTTTCCCTTCCTGGGCTACTGAACAATGCTAGTAGAAATCACATAAATATGCCGAGTGGCTTCTTTTACACTGTTTATTACCCAGTCACATTCCAGCCCTCACATTGCCTGACTTTCCTTTTCCTTAGCTCCTGCCATGTCATCACAGTCCTCGCTGTGGCAGCTGGAAAACCGTTCTCAAACTCCCTTGTGATTGTTGTAAAGTGCTGACTCACAGCAAACTTGTACAGGGCCTCTAAAGAGCAGCTGGTGGGTTTGAACCACAGCCTTTTGGTTAGCAATCCAATGCTGACCCTACAGCGCCACATCAGGACTAACCATCTAATATGAATTGTCTTAATTCTGTCCACTTTAAGATTTCTCCACCCTTTAACTTATTCCCCCTCCTTCTCTCTTGTATAGATAAGCATCTGACTGCTAACCACAAGGTTGGCAGTTCAAATGCACCAGCTACTCCTTGGAAACCCTGTATAGGTTTGCAATGAGTCGGAACAGATTTGACAGCACTTAACAACAACAACAAGGGAGTGTGAGAGTGGTTTTCCAGCTGCTACTGTGAGGACAGGGTCTTTATGAGTCAGAACTCATAACTTAACTTATAACTTACAACTTATACTTAGCACCTCTTTAATGTGTGCGAGGTTTTTCTTGATTTCCAAGGCTCAGGCCTCCCCTCTCTTCTTTATTTACTCCTCTCCTGGCCTGTAGCCCCTCAATTTCCACCTCACTGGAGTGGAACCTGTGCAATATACAGAGTCCTGTGCTTAGAAGGGTCCAGCAGGGCTGGGTGGTCGCCTATCAGGTCTCAATCTTTCTCCAGCTAGGAGGCCTGGGACAAGCTAGATAGAAGTAAGGCCAGAGCATCCTAGAGCATATCAAGAAACATGAGCACACTTGCCTAAGACTTTAAACTCATTATGATAAAGTGTATTGTGAGAAGGGGTAAATAGATTAGAGGCAACAGAGTTTGAAACAGGCCCAGAAGGTGCAGCTGAGACCATCAACAAGGGTCCCAGTCCAAGGGTAGAATGGTTCCTTCATCTCAGCACTGTGGGCTGGGGCTTGCTCCTCTTACCCTGGTGACTGGCCCAGATGCTGGAGTCAGCTGAGGGAGGCCACCATGCAGCTTCGAGTCCCCCAGTTGATGGGAGAGCAGTTGGAGGTAGGACTTGAGGGCCCTTCTGCTGTAATTGCT